GGAAGCGGAAACCGGGATGGTGGGCCAAGTCCTCCGGGCAAACGCGAGACCCTATTTGAAAATAACTACAGCAAAAAGGACTATGGCCATGGCTTAAGTGAGAGAATCGGTCTTCCGTCCTTTTTTTCCAGGCTCAGCATGAAATGAACAAGATGTGTTCCTGCTGATCCTCCCTTAGGATGCAGCCTCAAGAATTGGGATTTTTCAAAAAGAAGGACTAAGGACAAAAGTAATCTTCTGCAATACTTCATTGTGTCCAATAAATTAGAAAATGGAGAAATCTGATGCATAAAGTCTTCAACTAGACTTATTTCACAAAATTAGACCTATTTTTATAAAAGTAAAAAAATGGTATAACTTCATGTGTACAACTTCTCACGTGATTATGGCAGAAGCCAAAATTCTGTGAACAATGTAAAGTTTATTACGTTTCCCACCTGCCCCAGTGAGACAGGAGTTAGTGTGATTGCCTGCCTCCTGCTCAGGGACTATTCTAAAACAGTACAGATGTGGTATGTATGATAGGATGCAAGTCTTTCAGCCAACACTGGAAGATAAACACCTTCAACAACCAGGACCTCTAGTCAGGTGACACCAGCCTACTCCACCCCCACTCTCTTGGCTGCCATCTCTAATAGGAGCAAGAAGAAACATTTTGTGTGAAGATAGGGCCATTGCTGCTGTGTGGCAGGAAGTAGTTTCTAAAGAAAGAGAGCTATGGCCTTCCTCCCTTATAAAAGTACAAAGGTCCACGCTCTGTGTGTGGGGGGGGCGCGCACACACACATGCGTGTGCACTGTTGCTGTTAAACAGGGAGTTAGGACATTTCATGGAGGAGAAAAATGGCTTGGATGTTGATTAAAAAAAATAATAACATTCTGGCCCGCTAACTTCAAAGAAGAGCCCGGGACATGCAGTAGGTCTTGCCAATCTGCAGCCCTCCTAGCCCAGAAAAACTGAGAAATGACAGCCATGGTCTAACCACTGAAGGCCAAGAACTCTTCTGCCTGATGGAAGAGGGCTTGACAAATCCTAACTTGGTCTCAAGAAAGTTAATGACACATGAGCCCTGTTTTCTACACCTGACACCTCCATGTCCCCATACTCCAATAAAAGCTTGAACCCAATCTTGGGACTTCCAGAATAGCTCCTTTTTGAGCCTGCCCACCTTCCTATCAGGAGAGTATTTTTACTTTGTTTGTCTTTGCCCAATCAACCTTTTTCTGCTTAAGTCTCCTCTGTGTCCATCCTTGAACTATTTCTATGATGTCACCAAGAATCTTCTGGCTCGTGGGCCTGGTATCTTAGCTTCAGTAATGCTAAGATGACATGGTTTTAATGATTTTATAGGTAAAATGCTCTTTATAAAGAGCAGATGAAAATAAACTAAGCCGCATAGTAAGTGAAGGTGTTATGATTGAAAGTCAAAACAGAACAGACATGGAAGTCAGTGCGAAGTTCTTCTTTGCAGGGATGGATTATGTGGAGGTGGCTTGTAGGCCTAGCAATGTAATCCGGGACACCACTTGTGAGGGTTTAGGACCAAGTAGAGAAAAAGAGAAGAATTCTTTTTTTTGGGGGGTCCGGTCGTGGGGCCTGAACTCTGGGTCTGGGCGCTGTCCCTCAGCTCTTCAGCTCAAGGCTAGCGCTCTACCACTCGAGCCACAGCGCCCCTTCCGGCTTTTTTCTTTTTGCTTATGTGGTGCTGAGGAATCGAACCCAGGGCCTCAGGCATGCAAGGCAAGCGCTCTACCACTGAGCCACCTTCCCAGCCCCAAGAGAAGAGTTCTTGGGCTACCTGCACTTTAGCTGTCTGTACACTAAAGGAACAACTCATAGAACTCGTGTTATACTTTTAGAGCTTTAATTTTTTGCTAAAAAGTTGGAAGACCCTGGGCAGCCAGGAGTGGCACAGCTGGTGACTGCGTCGCCCCCAGGTTGTCTCCTCCTGAGAGCGCTCCCAGCGCCTCCCTTCAGGACGGGCCTCTTGTCATTGCACCTGCTGGTGTCCCGGCTGCATATTTGCTATTTGTGTGTGCACACACGCACATGCACTGGTACCAGAGGCTGAACTCAAGGCTTCTGGCTTCCCTGCACACCACTGGGGTTTTACCCACTTGAACCAGGCCTCCGGTCTGGCATTTTGTTAACAGGAGATGGAGTTTCACACACTTTTCTGCCTGGGCTGGATTTGAACCTCAATTCTCCAGGTCTCAGCTTCCCAAGACACTAGGATTACAGGTATGAATCTTTGTGCTCAGCTGGCTCATTTTATTTTATGGGGCTTGAACTCGGCCTGGGTGCTATCCCTGAGCTCTTCAGCTCAGGTGAGTGTTCTACCACTTGAGCCACAGCACCACTTCCAGTTTTCTGGTGGTTAATTGGACATGAGAGTCTCACAGACTTTCCTGTCTGGGCTGGCTTTGAACCACGATCCTCAGATCTCAGCCTCCTGAGTAGCTAGGATTACAGGCATGAACCACCAGCCCCCAGCTAAACTGGCTCATTTTAAAAAACATTTTTTTAAAAAATCTAGCTTTCATTGGAAAAGTTTCTGTTGCTGCCCCTGCAATTAAAAAAAAAAATCTCTGTATCATCTAATATGCTTCTCCTTTCACCCTGACATTAATTCCAGATCCATAGAATATTTGCAAATATACAAGTTTACGTCTTCCAGTTATATCCATCTGATGTGTGTGTCATAAATCAAAGTCGCGTGATTCAAAAAACTAAGGAACTATCACGATTTCATGTATCACCAGCTAAACAACGCATTTCACTGGGAATTCTCTCCCCCCTCCCATTATAGTGCTTTTTTTTTTCCGGTTCTAAGATCCAATTCAGGACAATGTCTTTTGTCCTCTGTCTTTCCATCTGTGGGCATTCCTTTGTCTTTCATTCGTTTATAATTTTGGCAGTTTTCAAGAGGACTGACCGAGGGTTTTGTAGATGACTCATGAATTTTGGTTGATGTCTTTTTTCATGGTTGGACTGAAAATATGCATTTTGAGTGATGAATATCAGAAGTGCTATTCTCTATCCATTAGATCACATTGGGGGATATGGTGTCAATATGGCCATGTTTTTCCACCTTAGTGACATTTCCTCCTTTTCTACTCTAATTACGAGTGATATTAGGTCTAGCTGCTATTCAAGGGGAAGAGAATAAGACTTTCTGGAGGGGGGATGTGTATAAGTTCTCCACAGGAATGAACTATTTTGAGTAGGAAGCTTTGTGGCTATGAAAGGGTCCTTCATTTCTTTAAAATCCCTCACTGATCTCTGCATCCACCGTAGACTCTACAGCACTAACTGTTGTCCTGTCTCATGATTCTCATGTCCCACGTTTAGTTTATGAAATCCTTCCATTAAGGAGAGTGTCCCCTCTTCTCCATTTGTAATTTACTCAGTCACATACCTGGATCATCCCTGGGTTACAATCCAACCTCGTTGTTATTCTGTTGCTTGAATTGTTCTAGCTTTTGCCATTGGGAGGCATGAAGTGCAGTTTCTTTAGCCTTTTTCTTTTTAGCCTTTTATTCTCGGATATCGCAAAACTAGAATTGCCTAGAATCATGATCAGCTATTTCCCTCCAAAGCCCCAGTTCCTTTAATTTTGAGATCAAGTGCTAAGTGTTTCCACTCCTGGGTCACCGATCCTGGATCACAATCCCTGGGCTTCTTCGTACTCAGTGGTGAAACACCTGCTTATGGACTAACGTGGGTGTGTGCCCCAGATCTCCCTCGATGGCTTCCTCCCCGACGTTCGACGCTGGTGGATCAGAGAATAGAAATGCAACGGCACTGTGGTGCGTAGAGGATTTGCGTCTTGGCGAGGCCAGACGTGAACCCCCAGGCCAGCCACGACGCGGTGTGGGAACAAGGGGAGGCGCTGTGAACCGGGGTCTTCCGCATGGACAGCCAGAACAAGCCCTAAAGTGCGGGTCTCGGATGCTTCGGGGTGGTGACCCAAACCCAACTGGCCCGTGTGTGCGCACGTACCGGACCTCACTTCCGCCGGTGGGAGGCGCGCGAGGCTCCTCCGGCCTCGGGGCCTGCGCGGCGCGGGCGCGATGCGCGCGCACCCCCGGGCGCACGGCCCTCGGCGGGCCTCGCGGGGCCGTCGGGGCGGGGCCGGGTCGCCGCGTCCCACCACCAGACAGGTTTCGAGTGCTTCGCTCCCGGGCGAAGACCACGTCCACCAGCCGCTACTCCAGGGATATTTACCCGCCCGCACTCACGGCCCGCTCGCCCCGGCCGGCCCGGCCCGCACACCGCGGCCGCGGGGTCGCCGTCTCGGGCCGCCCTACTGGGTCAGGGCCCTCGCGGACCGGGCGCCGAGGCCTCCCCGTCCGGTGCCACCTGACAGGACAGCTGTCAGCTAGGCCCCGCGCGCGTGCGCGTGCGCGTGCGCGTGTGCGCGCGCGCTGCCGCCGCCAGGCCGCGGCCGCCAGGAAGCCGGCCACGCCGTTACCGCCGCGGGCGACGCCGCGGCCCCACTTCCGACGGCGGGCGGGCCGTCGTAAAGCGCATCTGTGCCGACTGCTGCAAAGCGCCGGACGACGGCCCTCGATTGGTCTACGGCCTGTGGCGACGCCAGCTCCCGCTCCCAGGCTTCGGGGTTCGGGCCGGGCTGGCGCGCGGGCAGGCCGCGGGGCGCGGCGGAACGCTCGGGGCGGGGCCCGGGGCCTCGGCGGCCGCGGCCCCTCCCGCTGCGCGCCCCTCGGCCCGCCCTCCCTGCGTCCCTCCCCACGTCCCCGCCTCCCGCCCGCCCGCCGCGGCCGGCCCTTCCTTCCTCCCGGCGTGCACCGCGGCGCGGCCATGTTGCCGTAGTGTTGTTTTCCTCCTGCGGTGGCGACGGGCCGCAGCCGACCGCGCCGCGCCGGCCTCGCCTCAGCGCCCTCGCCGGCGCCGGCCCGCGCCGCGCCGCCGCCGCCCCGGTCCGCACCGGCCCCGTGGTCCCGCCCGCGGCTTGGGCGGCGGCTGAAGACCGGGCTCGGCGGGCACCATGGCGGCCGCCCTGGGCGCGGGCGGAGGAGCGGGCGCCGGAGGTACGTGGGCCCAGCGGGCCGCCCCGTCGTGCGGGCCCCGGTCCCGCCGGCGCCGGGCGGCGCCCGTCGCGGCGCGGAGCGTTGGGCCCGAGGCGGCGCGGGCCGGCGGCGGCACCGGGGCCCGGGCCGGCGGGCGGGACCGAGCCGGGGCGGGCGGGCGGGCGGGCGGGCCCGAGGCCCGGCCGGGCGCGGCGGGCGGGCGGGCGGGCCCGTGCCCGTGGAGAAGCCTCGTCAGCGTGAGGCTGTCAGCGGCGGCGAGGGCGGCCCCGCACCGGGGCCCCGGGCCCGGCCTCGGCGGCGTGCACGCGGCCCGGTGCGTGGGCCGCGCCTGTCACCCTGCGTGGCTGCCGTCCTGCCGGCTGGTGAGCGGAGCCTTTCCAGCCGTCGCCTTCGGGACGCGGGTGCGGGGTGCCTGGTCTGCGCGGGCCTCGTGCCCGTGCCCGCTGCGCCCCCGCGCGCCCGCAGGTCCTCCGCGAGCTGCCCGCCGCGCCCCGCGGGGCCCCGCGGGCCGGCGCCGGGCGCACGGCGCGGGCTGGGCCGACCCTGGCCGCACACGGGAACTACAGATGGATGTGCTTCCTTCTGGAGTCGGAATGTTCTTCAGTGCTCGGAGGGTAGACTTTTTCAGAAGTGGTTTTCATGCTGTCCGCTCGTCTACTCACAAAGTCATGCTCCACCAGAAGGATCTACATGGCCTAGTAACGCCTCCCTGAGAGCTCCAGACAGCGTCTTTGGCACTTCACGTGAACATACTACTGCATTTGCCCCTCTCCGTGGTGGGGATTGGATTCTGGGTGTCCGTTTTGGTAGGCATGTGTTCTGCCACTTGCGCCATGCCCCCAGTGCTTTGCGCAGTCTTGAAAGTTTAAAAAAAAAAAAAAAGATAAATCATCCTGTAGCGCCACCTATACTCATTGTGTACCTCCACTTCAAAACTTGGAAAGAATACTAAACCATTACAGTTGGAAGGAAGGTAGCCTGGAGAAAATGATACATTAGGATGGAAGTAGACGAGCTCAGGGCTTTGACTTCTACTCCAGTGTTATGTTACTATTTATTTATTTTGCCAGTTTGGGGGCTTGAACTCAGAACCTGGACACTGTCTTAGGTTTTTCAGCTCAAAGCTGGCTCTCTACCACTTGAGCCACAGCATCACTTCTGACTTCTTTTGCTGATTAATTGGAGTTAAGCATGTCAAGGAATTTTCAGCTCTGGCTGGCATCGAACTTCCATGGTCAGATCTCAGCTTCTTGAGTAGCTAGGATTACAGATGTGAGCCATCAGTGCCTGGACTGTTTGAGTTTTAGTATGTCAATACGTAGTAAGGCAGGAAAGTTCGCAGCACAGTGCAAAAGTTCGTCGTTTGAGATTAAGACATTACTACTTTTTTTTTTAACGTTTCTTTTGTATGATTATAAAGGTGTGATACACAGAGGGGTTACCGGTCAGGTAATGAGTACATTTATTTATTTATTTTTTTTGTCGGTCGTGGGGCTTGAACTCTGGGCCTGGGCGCTGTCCCTCAGCTCTTCAGCTCAAGGCGAGCGCTCTACCACTTGAGCTACAGCGCCACTTTCGGTTTTCTGGTGGTTTATTGGAGATAGGAGTCTCACGGTCTTTCCTGCCCGGGCTGGCTTTGAACCGCGATCCTCAGATCTCAGCCTCCTGAGTAGCTAGGATTACAGGCGTGAGCCACCAGCACCCTGCGAGTACATTTCTTTTTGAACAGTGTCACTGCTTCCCTCGCTTTCTCCTAGTTCCTCCGCCCTCACAAATTGTATAGTTCATTTTCAACATAGTGTTTAGTGAGTATCACTACTGCATTTGTTCACCCTTTGTCCCAACATTTTTGTGCTTCCCTTTTACCCTCCCCCAAATAGATAAACTTACATACAAGACAAAAAGTACAGAAAACAAAAAGAGTGACATTTCTTGGAGTTCATTTCCATAATTGTCATTTTACATGATTGCAAGCACATAGCTATTGAGCCTTTGTTATCCTCTCCCAAGAATATCTTTCTTTAGTCTCACTGTGTGAATGTCTAGAATCCTGTATAATTTATCATGTCCAAGTGAATTTTTTTTTGTCTTTTACCATTCAGTTGTAGACAAATTTTAATGGAATTCAGATTGAATTTACTGAGTAGAGTGTTTGTGGAATTACTTCTCCCATGGTGTTGACTGATAGTTATCTCTATGTGGCCATTTGATTCTTTTTTTTTTTTTTTTGTCGTCGGTCGTGGGGCTTGAACTCTGGGCCTGAGTGCTGCCCCTCAGCTTTTCAGCTCAAGGCGAGCGCTCTACCACTTGAGCCACAGTGCCACTTCCGGTTTTCTGGTGGTTTATTGGAGTTAGGAGTCTCATGGTCTTTCCTGCCTGGGCTGCCTTTGAACCGCGATCCTCAGCTCTGGGCCTCCTGAGTAGGATTACAGGCGTGAGCCCGGCTGCCATTTGACTCTTAACTTTTTTTTTTTCCTTCAAGAACGCTTAATTTCTGAGCTGGTTGTTGGTGGCTCACAACCTAATTCTAGCTACTCAGGAGGCTGAGATTCAGAGGATGCTGGCTTGAGGCTAACTAGGCAGAAACATCTGTTAGACAGCATCTCTAGAATAACCAGCAAAAAGAGCTGTAAAAATGTAGGCAAGCAAGCATCAGGTTCCTGAGTTCAAACTCTGGTGCAGGCAAAACAAAACAAAATTTAATTTTTTGTTTCACCTGCTAGCATTTGAGGAGTGTCGGAAACAAATGCTTTATTTTCATGTAGCCAGAGGGACTCCTTTCAGCATTTCTTTCTTTCTTTGTTTTTTTTTTTTTTTTCTGGTTGGTCATTGGGCTTGAACTCTGGGCCTGAATGCTGTCCCTCAACTCTTCAGCTCAAGGCTAGCCCCCTGCCATTTGAGCCACTGTGCCACTTCTGGTTTTCTGAGTGGTTTATTGGAGATAAGAGTCCCATGGACTTTCCTGCCCTCCTGTCCAGACTGTCTTTGAACCACGTCTTTGAACTGCTATTCTCAGATCTCAGCCTCCTGAGTAGCTAGGATTACAGGTATGAGCCACCAGCGCCTGGCTTTCCTTTCAGCATTTCTTGTTGAGCATGTGTATTACTGAAGGACTTAGGTTTATTTATCTGGGAACATAACTTTTTTTTTTGTTTTGTTTTTTTGGGTCTGGTCGTGGGGCCTGAACTCTGGGCCTGGGTGCTGTCCCTCAGCTCTTCAGCTCAAGGCTAGCGCTCTACCACTTGAGCCACAGCACCACTTCCGGCTTTTTTCTTTTTGCTTATGTGGTGCTGAGGAATCGAACCCAGGGCCTCATGCATGCAAGGCAAACGCTTTACCACTGAGCCACCTTCCCAGCCCTGGGAACATAAGTTTTGAAGGGTAGTTATTCAGATATACACTTTTTGTTTGACAGGTTTTTCTTTTAGCATGTTAAAATATTTTATTCTACTACCTTCTGGCCTGGATGGCTTTTAATGAAGTGTTGTCAGTATGCCATTTAATTAAGGATCCCTTGCATATGACTAGTCACTTTCCTCTGTGCTTCCCAGATCTTTGGTTTGGTGTTTGAAAGTTCTGCTACTGGGGCTTGAACTCCAGATCTGAGCGCTGAAACTGATCTTTTGTGCTCAAGGTTGGCGCTCTACCATTTGAGCTACAGCTCTGTTTTTGGCTTTTTTTGGTGGTTAATTGGAATCTTGTGGACTTCAGAGTCTCATGGACGTTCCTGCCTGGCTAGTTTTGAATTGCGGTCTTCACATCTCCACCCTTGGGTAGCTAGGATTAACAGGTTTGAGCCACTGGCACACAGCTTGAGTTTTAATTATTGGTATGAATACCTGAGTTTATCCTGCTAGTTCATTGAACTCCTAGATTGTATGGAGTCATTTTACATCAAAATTGGAAGTTTTTGGCCATCAGTTCTTGAGCAGTGTGGATTACAGTCTGCCTCCCTCTCCTTTGGGTAACGAAGGCTAATGGGGCCTTTTCTAAAGATGTGTGGCCTCTCTGTCAGTTCCCTGAGAAATTAGTTCAGAGGTCTGCCTTTATTTTGTCCTACTTAGAACACTTTCAGAGCTAAAGTTAACAACAAAGTTAGTGTTGTCAAAACCATTTAAAGACGAATACATACACTGTGTTGGGTCACCTGGGATGCAAAGAACAGTAGGAGGCAGAACAGACAAAACAGACCAAAACCTGGGAAAAGGATGTTGGGGAGGAACCACATGAGGAAGTACCCAGAGTACCATGCAAACATGAAATGTTCATTATAATTTTCATTTTTCTGATGTCCAGTAAATTTGGCATGGTTATGTGTGTTCATTGGCTGTTTGTTATCTTTGGAGAAATATATATATATATTTCAATCCTTTGTCTATTTTTATTCAATCTTAATATTTTTGTGACAGACACTCCTATTTTGTGGGATATAATAAATTGTCAATAATCGTAGACACCAGGTGACACAATTAAAAGCTTGAATTTTTTTTTCCCTAACTGGATTTTGTTTTAGTCTTTTGACCCATACCTCCCATAACATCTTCCCTAAACCCAAGCTTCTTACCACTACTGTTTTCATCTTTACTTTTATGAGTTCAACATTTTAGATTCTATAATTTGTATATTTAATACAGTTATGTGGCATTTATATTTCTGTGCCTGGCTTATATTAGTTAACATAATATCTAACATCTATGTTGTCACAAATAACGTTTCCTTTATGAGGGTAAATATTTCATTGTATAGATGTAATTCACATTTTCTTGAATCATTTATCCATTTATGAACATTCAAATTGTCTTTGTTGCTGTGAATAATGCTATGGTGAACATAAAAGTACAAATACCTTTTTTGACAAAAAATGAAATGTTCAATTTCATTTTAGAATTTATTTATGATCACAAAAGAGATTGACTTAGAGTTCCCTTCCTTTGCATGTGTGAATGCATATATGTTGAGTGTAACATTTTTATTAAGTACTAGAAGAACTTTGTGTCTGCAGGGTCATTTGACTTTGTTGTTGTTGTTGTTTGGTCATGGGTCCTGAACTCTGGGCCTGGGCGCTGTCCCTCAGCTCTTCAGCTCAAGGCTAGCACTCTACCACTTGAGCCACAGCACCACTTCTGGCTTTTTTCTTTTTGTTTATGTGGTGCTGAGGAATCAAACCCAGAGCCTCATGCATGCAAGGCAAGCACTCTACCACTGAGCCACCTTCCCAGCCCCTCATTTGACTTTTTAAGTTATGCTTTCAGTTAGTTTTCATTGTTGGTCTGTTTAGCTTTTATAATACAAAGGTTAATTTGGTGATAGTTCACCCAGAAGAAATACTCTTTATATGTTCATGTCAATACACAGTTAATACTGTTGCTTCCTCAGAGTGGGTGTGTTGAAGATAGATTTTTTTTTTTTTTTACATACCTATACTGGGGCTTGAACTCAGGGCCTGCCTTACACTTGGATTTGGCTCTTTTTACTCTACCACTTAAATAAGCATACTTCCATTTGGTGGATAATGGGAGATGCAAGTCTCATGGACTTTTCTAGCTAGAAGCCTCAGATTTCAGGATTATAGGTGTGAGCTACCAGCAATCAGCAAAGATAGATTTTTAAAAAAAAATTTTTGGAAACTGGTGTGTCTGAACAAATTTTTAACTTGGCTCAACTTGGGTGGGCTCAGAATTCTGGGTAGGGATTCATTTTCTTTAAATTTGTGATGGCTTGCTGTGTTCTACTCTTGACAAGTCATTCTAATACCTTAGAATTTTTGTGTTACCTTGTTTCTCTGAAAGCTTTTTTTTGCCTTCCAGTACTAGGTTTGAACTCCAGTATTGCTAGTATTCTCTGGAAATTTTTAGCAACTTTCTGTCTGTCTCTTGCTGTGTGTGTATATGTATATATGCTTCTTTTTCAGTGCTGGGGAATCATACTCAGGGCTTCCCACATGCTGGGCAAGTGCCCTCCTGTTAGCTACATCGCTAGCACAGCATTCTGTCTCTTAAGCTTTACAAATTTAGAACGTGGCATACAGTAAATGAATTTAGGTTTCACGTTTTAAAAAGTGTCTAGTAATTCATGGGAAAAGAAATGGAGTATCAGTTACTCTTAGTGAGAATGGGACCATGGAGTTGGCTGATGTTGGCTTCCTCCTGTGTCTTCTCGGGGTGTAAGGGGGGCTCTGTGGCCCCCACAGCAAGAGGCAGAGCCCTGGCTTACACCAGATAGGACTTACTTTCAAGATGACCAGTGTGCTCCTTATTTCATAAATCGAAGGTTCTTTTTAGGAAGACCCTGTCTTGGGGCCCCTTACTACATCAGTTTTGCTTGTTTGTTTTTTAAACGAGTACAAGCTTATATAAAACATTATGATGAAAGAATTTTTTTGAAATTTTTGTTTGGCTACTTAGTAGTTGATATTTATACTGTAGAGCTAATATATTGACTGCAAGTTACTGAATATTGCCTGTTTTTTTAAGTTAATATCTCAATAACTGGTCTAGATTTGTCTTATATAAAATGAGTAACTTTAAGTGACTCAGAATAGGAATATATATGAAGTAGGAAGGTTGAGAACCTTTGAGACACAAAAGTTTACAAATTTTACAAGGCCAAGAAGTGAATGTTACAGACTTTCCAGGGCTCATGATTTCTGTTGTAGCGATTCACCTCTGCCCCTTATAACTGGAAAGCAGCCATGAGATTACATTGACGTTAATGTGTTCCTTTAAATGTTTATGTACACAAATGGGTGGTGGCTGATTTTGGCCAACATCTGGCAGGCCTTGTTTTGTCACAGTAGTTACTAAAACTCTGTCCCAAGCTAATAGTCTCTAACATTTCTAATCCAAGTCCAAATTCCTGGAAAGAGGAGGAAATAGTGAAAACGGTAAATAAAAGTTGGGTTCATTGGTGTGTTTTAGAAAATTATGAAAATTGCAGCAGATGTCGTGATGGAAAGGAAATACCAGTGCAAGGTTTAGCTTAGGAGGAGGCTGTCCTGACAAGTCGTGGACTGTGCTCCTCTTGCTCATTGCCCGGGCCTTGTCACCACTGCACTTGCATTATCTTCCTTTGTTTCTGCTTAGCATGATTCATAATACTGTGAACTGATGTGACTGATGTAAATAAGTTAGAGCCTTAAAAAGAATTTGTCTAAAGATCTGAAGGAAAGAGGGAAGTGAGTGGAGAGAATTTAAGAATTAAGCCAGGCTTACAGGGCTCTTAGTATTCTTCTTAAGACTGAATCATTAGTTCAGTGAGTGTAATGCCTTCATTTCCATGGGTAGCAGAATTGCCATGTGAGTCATTAGTTCAGTGAGTGTAATACCTTCAATTCCCTGGGTAGCAGAATTGCTATGTGTGTCAGAATTTCCTTTCTTTTTTTTTTTTTTTTGGTACCAGTCCTGAACTCAGGGACTCTGGGCACTGTCCCTGAGCTCTTATTGCTCAAGGCTGGTGCTCTACCACTTGAGCCAAAGTTCTAACTCCTCCTTTTTGGTTTTTAATTGGAGATAAAGAGTCTTACAGATTTCACTGCCTGGTCTAGCTTCAAACCAGTGTCCTCAGTTGTCAGCCTCCTGAGTAGCCAGGATTACAGGCCTGAGCCACTTGCACCCAGTCAGAATTTCCTTCCTTTTAAAGGTTAAGTAATATCTATTGTATATAGACAGTGCCTCCCTTTCTCTTAATTTCTTTCCCCTGATAGCCCCCCTCCCCTTTTCTTTTTCATCTTTCAATAGAAAGGTTCTGAGGCTTGAACTCAGGGTCTGGGTGCGGTCCCTAAAACTCTACTACTTGAGCCACAGCTCCACTTTCAGCTTTTTTTGATAATTGCAGATAAGTTTCATGGACTCCCAGGTTGGCTTTGAACAGTGATCCTCAGATCTCAGACTCCTGAGAGTAGCGAGGATTGTAGGCGCGAGCCAGAGCTACGTGTTGAAAAATTTAGAACTTTCACCCTCAACCTCTTGCCTCCCAGGAGAAGAAGAGGCTGGAGGAGCTACCTCTGTCATTCATCGTTAATTCAACCAACCATGCCTTTGTAATGAGACTGCCATAACGTCTCTAAACTTTGGGTCAGTATACCATGGCCTGTCACCAACACCTTTCTTCTCCTTTTTCCATCTTCGTTAAGTGACACCTTGACTTGCAGATTGTTCAGCGTTCAACCGTCATTCTGAAAATCTCCCATTTCCCTTCAGTGGTGGCACTCCAGAGTGAGAGCAGGCCCTGCATACTCAGGCTCAGTTCTGCAGCATCCCCACTGAAGATGCCAGCCGTTGGTGGGCTCACATTTCCTCCTAGGTTTAGGTGTCTCAATTCACACAGGAACCAGGCAAACAGTACAGTACTTTGAAGCACTTCATCTCCTAGTCTGACTTGTTTTTATTTTCTTAACTGTGTCTTTTGGAGAATAGATGTTTTAAATTTTGGTTGTCATAACTCATCAGTTTGATATTCCATTGGTTTGGTTTTGCAGTCACATAAGAAATTTTTGCCTAACCCCAAACATATATTTTAGGGTGCAGTTTTATGAGGTATTGATTCAGGTTTACATCTTAGTGTAGTAGCAGTAATATTTGGGAGGCAGGGATTGGGGGGGAATCTTGTTTGAGGCTAGCCCAGGTATGAAAGTTTAGGATACTCTGTTTCAACTCCATGGCTGGGCAGTGGTCTCCATCTGTTACCTCAGTTTCAGTGTAAGTGGAATGGCTGGGTGCAGAGGTACATGCCTGTCATTCCTAGTGACATGGGAAGCATGAGGATTGTAGCCAGGCTGGGCATAGAGTGAGACCCTACATGACAAGTAACTGAAGCACAAAGGGGCTGGAGACATGGTCCAGTACTGGAAAAAAAATTATTGCCGATCCTGGGTCTGAACTGGGCCTGGGCGCTGTCCCTCAGCTCTTCAGCTCAAGGCTAGCGCTCTACCACTTGAGCCACAGCGCCACTTGTGGCTTTTTCTGCTTATGTGGTGCTGAGGAGTGGAACCCAGGGCCTCGTGCATGCAAGGCAAGCACTACTACCACTGAGCTAACTTCCCAGCCCCTAAAATTTATTTTTAATTAAAAATGTCTAAAAAAGACTAGATCAGAGCCCAACAAAATCATTACCAGGAAATGGATACATACAGGGTGGGAGGAGGGACAGACAAAGGGGAGAGGGGTCGATGAATAAACGAAGGGGGAGAATTCAGTCAAGAATTCACGTTTTTTTTTTCTCCAATCCTGGGGCTTGAATTCAGGGACTGAGCACTGTCCCTGACCACCTTTGTGCTCAAGGCTAGTGCTCTACCACGTCTAAGAATTCATTGTATATGTCACAGAATTAAGAAAAGTAAGGGGAGGAGGGTGGGTCAAATGGGGTAAGAATGTTAAAGGGTGTGACACTGATCGAGATGCAGTGCTTTCATAAACTGCTTTGTTATGTGACTTTATACAATCACTTAAAATAATACAAAGAATAACATTAAAAATGGTTAAAGTACTCATAATACCTGAATCTTTTGCATCTTGAAATGTCAGACTAGGAATCCTTCAGTTGTTTGGTAGTTGATTATTTGTGTCTGTCTTGGTTTTGCAAAGCTGACTTGAATGGACTCTTCCTCACAGATGATGACTTTGACCAGTTTGATAAGCCTGGTGCAGAGCGGTCCTGGAGAAGAAGAGCTGCTGATGAGGATTGGGACAGGTACATACATGCTGTCTCCTGTGCGTCTTTACTGGGGAGTCTAGGCTGACTCTTGATGCTGCCCCTGCGATACATAGAGATGTTACTGAAAGTGGTGTTGTGGCTCCCTGATGATCTGTTACGAATAGGCCTCCCTTGTGGACTAGTGCTCTCCAGGTAGAAGATTGCTCAAAGGGCTGTGCCAGGGCTGTACTAGCAGTACTAGCATTGACTTTGTGGACATTCACGGGTGTAATTATGCCAGAGTGCCCTCTGCTCTACATCCTATCCAATATTTGGATAGACTTTAAAAATTACCATCTTAATATATATTGATTTTAATTGCATTTTCCTGATTGTTAATAAAAATGAAAGTGCCTTTTTAAGAATGCATACATGCATACAAGGTACAAACTCACAGTAAAGACAGATGTCAGTTCATATTGCTGGGCTTCTGGTGGAGAGTTATACTAAGGTAAGGGGGGAGATGTTTTCTGAAGCATTTTTCAGGACATTTCTGTTTGTAAATAAAAATGTGCTTGCTTTCAAAGAGGTGCTTGTCTCCAATTTTTGATAAGATTGTTGGCCAAAAAGGTTGTTCTTACCCAAATGGTTATCCTGGTGAAATCCTTAAGAGTTCCCTCAATAGAACAAAGAAACCTCTTCCCAGGTAGTGTGCTTGCTTTTAAAATTTCTAGAGCAAGATTGTTGGCCAAAAAGGTTGTTCTTACCCAAATGGTTATCCTGGTGAAATCCTTAAGAGTTCCCTCAGTAGAACAAAGAAACCTCTTTCCAGGTAGTGTGCTTGCTTTGAAAATTTCTAGAGCAGTTACTACTAGGTGTTTTGTTTTTTTTTTGGCCAGTCTTGGGTCTTGAACCCAGGGCCTGGGCACTGTCCCTGAGCTGCTTTTGCTCAACGCTAGCACTCTACCACTTGAGCCACAGCACCACTTCTGGCTTTTCTGTTTATGTGGTACTGATGAATCAAACCCAGAGCTTCATGCATGCTAGGCAAGCACTGTACCACTGAGCCACACTCCCAGCCCCAGTTACTATTAGTTATTGTGGGAGAGAGTCACATGACTAATTACTCTTGCCACTAATTACGAGGGATGGCCAGGAGTTCATTACTAAATTTTTTAACAGTTGGTGTAGTTTTAATGTATTTGGTAAACTTCTTTGCATATTTACATCTTTTGTTAAGCTCTGTCTATCTAACTGATGACTGTATGAGAAACCATGTTTACTCTGGGCTGTGTGGTTGGTACTTAGGATTTGGACTCTAAAGCCTGACTGAGTTCACCTATTGTATCACAGCTTCCAGGCAGGTGTTCTTGGGCAAGTCATTTGACATCTTAGAGTATGTGATTTCCCACTGAAAAATAAAGGTGGTGTAAGTGTCTACTTGATAGTTATTAAGTCAGCTAGAGCTATACCTATAAAACAGTGCTTAGCTTTCTCAGATCTTTCCCAGCTCTCTTTGCTCTTTTTCCCAGCTCTTTCTCTTTCCTTGCTCTCTTTACGCTCTTTCTCAGCTCTTTCCTTCTCAGCTCTGTCCCAGCTCTCTTAGTTCTTTTTCCCAGCTCTCTCTCTTTCCCACCTCTTTTCCCAGCTCTCTCTCAGGTCTTTCCCAGGCCTTTACCAGCTGCGTGGAGTGCCAACCTGGCCTGGTTCCAGCAGGTCTACTGAATAAACCTACCCCTTACCTGAAAAAAAAAATAGTGCTTGGTACATTTTGATTAATTGCTATATAAATTATGCTTGTTCTGTGGGCTTAGCTCTAGTCTCCATCCTTTGGATGCAGTACTGTGCTTTTGTTGTGTGCAGTTCACTTATAACAGATGGGGCTGTTTATCTTCTTTCAAAACCTTCTCTTGTTAAAGAGATTAGTCACTAAAGATTTTTTTTTCCACTTTTTTTTTTGTCTGTCAGCAAAAGTCACAAATTCTTTCTAGTTTATTTACTTGCTCTTACTACCGCTCCAGTTAGTGTGCCTGGGGAACTGCCTTCCTCTTTTCAGATACCTTAAAACAACAGCGTAGAGGAACGCTCAGCTTCAAAGATGTGCCTTTATGTTTTGTTCATTTAGAGTCAGACTGAGATAGGGCTTTTCATTGTTAATAAAGCAGAAGGAAAGTATAGCAGCTTCACATGAAAGCCCTAAACCCACCAGGCTTTATCACATTTCAAATTGACCCACTTACTTTCCAATCTTATTAGGAATAATATTTTGACATTTCTCTTTTTTCCTTCAGTGAACTTGAAGATGACTTACTTGGAGAAGATTTGTTGTCTGGCAAAAAGGTAAGAAAAATACAGGTACTTCTGAGCAAAATCATGGTCATTGAATTTACTAGAACACATGCATGGGATGTACAATTACAAAGTCATTTGCCTTGTTATAGTGCTGGAAATGGAATTACATTATACCTCCAGCTCTGAATTCTTTCTTTAAATGCACAATTGGTTGTTTATTAGTAAATCCTTAATTATAACTCAGTAAAAAATCCTTTAAAGCAAAATATTTTATTTTATTTATGTATTTTTTTGGTCAGTTGTGGAGCTTGAACTCTGGGCTAGGGCCCTGTCCCTGTGCTCTTCAGCTCAAGGTGAGTGCTCTACCAGTTGAGCCACAGCGCCACTTTTGGTTTTCTAGTGATTTATTGGAGATAAGAGTCCGACGGACTTTCCTGCCTGGTCTGGCTTTGAACCTCGATCCTCAGATCATCTCAGCCTCCTGAGTAGCTAGGATTACAAGCATGAGCCATCTGGCTTAGATATTTTAGTTCCAACTGTGTCCAGAGCACTCTAGCAAGTATCAAATATGGGACTATGATAACATAAAACTTGCTCTTGCTTTAAAGGAATGTACCATTTGGAAGTTTGATATTTTGTATACTCATTCTGGAATTCACTTTTGGGGGTATTGATTGATGAGTTTGAAGATAAATATACCGAGATAAAACAAATGTTCATATAAGTAAGATTAAAAATTTCTTGTAAATAAAACATGTAAGTCACATTATCTTTTGTATGTATATATGTACATTATAAACTGTAGCAATGTATTTTATATACAAAACACATAAAAGTAGAAACATTAAGCAAGAGATGAAAATGAAACTTTGAGGTTTTATTTCTCAATAAAAAACTTACTATTCTCAATATAAGTTATTGACGTTTAAAATTTTAAGTTTTAAAATTATGAAGGTTTACTCTCAACAGTTATACTAAAGCATGTTGCACTTTTAGTGTTTAGTGGTATTCAAGTCTATATTTTCTGTATTTTAGATAACACAGATTGTTTTATCTGAGTTTTTTACATCATTGTTTTTTCATTTTGTCTTCTTTAGTATTACTTAAGATCTTATAAAAGAAATATTAGTTTTGCCGTTTTTCTGTTAACTTTCTCTGTTGTAGTATTAGCATTTAGGATTCTTTTTCCAAGCCAATTTTCCTTCCTCTGTTTTGCTTCATACTGATTATTAGCCTCCACATAGCCTAACTTTAGAGTGCCCAGACCTCTCCCATTGTAACAGATACAGCCTGGAGGAATAGTGACACCGTAGCAATTAGACAAACAACACACGTACCACCACCACCAGAAAATCTCAAGTGAATGTAAGAGGAGAAGTATATTATTTATCTTAATGTGCCTTTCAACCAGATGTCATCAGTTTTCAGTTACAGGTACTCTTGCTTCACCTCTACCCACCTCCTTCCTGAATTAATTTGAAGTAAATCTCAGACAATATAATCATATTTTATTTGTTTTTTTTGGTCCGGTCGTGGGGCCTGAACTCTGGGCCTGGGCACTGTCCCTCAGCTCTTCAGCTCAAGGCTAGTGCCCTACCACCTGAGCCACAGCGCCACTTCCAGCTTTTTTCTTTTTGCTTATGTGGTGCTGAGGAATCGAACCCAGGGCCTCAGGCATGCAAGGCAAGCGCTCTACCACTGAGCCACCTTCCCAGCTCCTATAATCATATTTTAACAAGTAAATCTTAGTATGTTTCTGGGATTCTTTTCTTTGAAAGTTGCCATAAATTTTTGCCCTTGTTTCATATTGCCACATTGCTTTCTAGAAATGTTTGTTTAGTCAATTTCTGTTCCGAATAAGTGTATTTAAACATCTCTCTCACCTATCCATTTTCCAGCTTTGATGCTGCTTTTTAAAAATACTCTTTGTTGGGGCTGGGAAGGTGGTTCAGTGGTAGAGTGCTTGCCTTCCATGAGGCCCTGGTTCGATTCCTCAGCACCACATAAGCTGAAAAAAGCCGGAAGTGGCACTATGGCTCAAGTGGTAAGGCGCTAGCCTTGAGCTGAAGAGTTGAGGGACAGCGCCCAGGTCCCACGACCGACCAAAAAAAAAAAAATTGTCACTGTGAGCTATGGAAAGTGATTTCTGGTGGTTTAATGCTTCTTTGATGTCTGGTTGAGGTACTGTGCCTTTGAGGTATTTATTGGTGAGTTTGTTGCTAAAGTCAGTGATTGGTCCCACCTGTTGGGTGTGTTCTTGTGTGGCCTTTGCTTTCTTCCTGGAGCCTGGTGAAGTGTTCATTGTGTACCTGTCTAGAGAGGCTCCTAGCTCCTACTTGACAGGGTGAGGGTACGGTGCACACTGTCATTTGTCAGAGAAGGGAGGTTGCAAGGGTCCAGTTTTACAGGCACCGTTGAAACGTGAGGATGAAGAGGCTGGTGTGACTAAGCCAGAACGTTTAAAAGATAGTTAGAGAAGTGGGCTACAGGTCTCCGCTCCTTCATTGCTTCTGTGTTTTACCTGAGTATCTCATGGGTCCAGTATGGGAGAATGTTTGGGGAGCCATCTTTTCCCATTTTGTAATTTTTGCTCTATGAAGTTCTTGCCTGTGAGCATTGGAAAATGTCATGGGAAGAAAGGTCAGGAGGAGGGTTTCCACTAGCATCCACTGCCACTTCTACCCCCTCCTGCCTGTCCTGCTGTCCTGCAGACTATGATGAGCATTGGGAAAAGTAATGGGAAGACAGGTCAGGAGGAGAGTTCTCACTAGTGTCCACTACCACTCCTACTCCCTCCTGCCCGTCCTGCTGTCCTGCAGACCATGCTGAGCAGAACTCTGTCCAACTTGCCTGCCTCTTGTGGAGAAAACAGTTCTCCCCACCTTCCTGAGGTGTGCAGAGAACCAGCTTGACCCCTGGAATGTAACCATAGCTCTCTTGGAGAGTCTTAACTTTTCCGGTGAAATGGATATTTGTGTCTACCTCCTGTGTCTATTACTTGGTAGGTTGGAGTTGAGAGAGAGGACTGAATTCTTAAGTAACATTTGTCCGTGGCCCATCACAGCATGCATTCCTTTTGTCTGCTTGGTGAATTATTACTTTACTGCTTCTTGACAAATACTTAAACGTTTACCTGAAAACTCATGGAAGCAGCCTCTTAAGTGATTGAATTGTTAGTTTCTTGAGATTTTATTCACTGAATTTGGATACTTGAACTTAGGTTTCTCTGTGACAGGCCTGGCTTACCCCTGATAGCAGCATGTTGGTTTGGATGGCAGGTTGTCACCTAACAGAAACTTCATTTTGAGTATCTTAAATATAGTGTTGTTTAAATCCACATTCCCTTTAAGTAAGCTGATCATTAGCTTGTTGTTTTAATCCTATTGTAATGTCCTTAGTAGATGGGATCCCTTGGAACTACCTTTGCTTATTAAAATCGCTGACGTTTCAGAAGCCTATTTTTTAAGGGATAGGTGTCTTTCCCCCCTACCCCCCCCCAAAAAAAAAAGAGAAAAAATCATTTGTTTCATTTAAGTAGAAGACCAAGTAAGTGTTTCTAATGTTAAAAAAAAATGAGCCAGGCACTGGTGGCTCATACCTGTAATCCTGGCTACTCAAGAAGCTAAGATCTGAGGATCACGGTTCAAAGCCAGCCTGGCTAGGAAAGTCTGCGAGACTTTTACTCCAGTAAACCACCAGAAAACTGGAAGTAGCCCTGTGGCTCAAGTGATAGAGTGCTTGCCTTGAGCTGAAGAGCTCAGGGACAGCATCCAGGCCTGGAGTTCAAGCACCCACGACTGACAAAAAAAAAAAAATCCCAAAAGTACGTGTGAGTGTGTATGTGGTTTTGGCCATCTTTTAGAAGAGTAACAGTAATTTATACATATAAAAAATTACAAAAGAGGAGGAAGGTGGGACCCTCTATCCCCCAAGGTAGAGTATTGGACTATTTTTGGCAGATACTGTGAAATTTGGCACTCTCATCAATATGATGAAGCTGCCTCTGCTTTCTGGTGGATCTGTGCCCAGCACTGTCATAAACTTGACATTCACTTTTTTATTGACCTGTAATAAAATAACTCAGGGTCATCCTACCCTCTTTCTTTTCTGTTAAGGTTAAGCTACATTTGATTGTTAAGCTTGCTGCTGCTTTGCTTTGCCTGTGGCATCTAAAAATCAGTCAGGATCAGTTAGTCAGGAGGCTGTATGTGAGATCTTTTCATTGTCTATGCTGGTACCAAACTGAGGGAACCTGGATGGCAAATGTTTTAGTAACATGAATTAGACACATTGAGTATAATGTGCCTTTTTGTAACAAGTTTTTCTTTTTATAGAAGTGACACTCATTAATTAGATTTCTTATTTTAATTAGAATCAGTCGGATTTGTCAGATGAAGAGCTGAATGATGATCTTTTACAGAGTGATAATGAAGACGAGGAAAATTTCAGGTACCCAATATTAACTCATTAAGATGTTCTTTATTTAAATTGATAGGAACCACTTATAATTACAGTGGAGCACAATTGAATAATGTGGTATTATGTCTTTGATGAGTAATTATATTCTAAATGGATATTAGTATTTTCTGAAGCCCATATGGATTGTTTCATAAATAAATTTAAAATCCTTTCTGTTGATGCAGGTCATGAAAGCTTGGTGTACCTGATATATTTTGTTGGTCAAATTCACACAGTGAGATTGAAGAGGATATTCTTAGGAGAGGATCACAAAAGCTTAATTCGCATATGATCATATAAAATGTTTATCAAAATGAACTAAAAAAATGGAAACAATAGGTTTTTTATTTTACCTTTTGTGATTTCTGTAAATTTATCTGTTTGGGGGTAGGGTAGGAGAAGCACAGAAATATTGGGGACAAAGGGTAAATAAATTCAGCCCCTGTATAATTATACAGGGGCTTAGAAGGTGGCTCAGCAGTAGAGTGCTTGCCTTGCATGCATGAGGCCCTGGGTTCAATTCCTCAGCACCACATAAACAAAAAAGGCCGGAAGTGGCACTGTGGCTCAAGTGGTAGAGCACTAGCCTTGAGCTGAAGAGCTCAGGGACAGAGCCCAGGCCTAGAGTTTAAGCCTCACGACCAACCAAAAAAAAAAAAAAAAAAAAAAGAACTAAATAGCTTGCAGGGAAGGGGGTCGGGAGGGAAAAAAGTTGGAGAAAACAAGGGAAGAGGTGACACTGTTCAAAAAGAAATGTACTCATTACCTCACTTATGTGACTGTAACCCCTCTGTTCATTACCTCTACAGTTAAAAAAAAAAAAAAGAACTTGTTTGGTTGGAGGGCAGTTACCTCAGACTTAAGCAAGTGACTGCAGTTTGATGATACTTTCTTTCATTTCAGTTTTTATTAATATGTATTTGGTTACTGAGTTACTATAGTAGATAGGTATACTTGGTAATACTCTGGTAGGTGGAATTTATTTTTTATTTATTTTTATTTTTGTTGGTCGTGGGGCTTGAACTCCAGGCCTGGGCTCTGTTCCTCAGCTCTTCAGCTTAAGGTGAGCGCTCTACCACTTAAGCCACAGTGCCACTTCCAGTTTTCTGGTGGTTTATTGGAGATAAGAGTCTTATGGACTTTCCTGCCCAGGCTGGCTTTGAACTGCGATCCTCAGATCTTAGCCTCCTGAGTAGCTAGGATTACAGGCATGAGCCACCGGCATCTGGCTTATTTTTTATTTTTATTTTTTCGTGATATTGGTGTTTAAACTCAGTTTTACACTTGTCAGGCAGACACTTCCACTTTAGCCATTCCCAGACTTAAGTTTTCTTACCTATACCACCTGTGTACCTGGAATTACAGGCGTTGCTTCATAAGCACACCAGACTTGTTCTTTGCTCTAAGGTTCTGTTAACTTTTGCCTTGGCCAGCCCATGATCCCCCTATCTCTGCCTCCCATGTAGCTGGGATTACGTAAACCTCTGCCTGGCTCAAGACATTTTTCAGTTTTGTGAGGAAACATTGGAAAACTGTAAACATACTTCTTGGTATTCCCATTGAGCCATAAGTTTGTAACAGATTTTCTAATGTAAGTTTAATTTTTTTTATAGATAAAAAATTACTTTAAAATTATTCTACCAGTTTAATTTTTTCAATCAAGTACTTTGACATTTTTGTTATATTTAAGTCTTTTGAGTTAAGTTGGTTTTGATAAATATCGTGGGAGTTTTTCAGACACGGTGTCTTGAAGTCTGTGATATATTTATTCAGTTTTGTGTTAAAGTGGGATACTTAATATGTGTCAACATAGATTTGTATAATCTTGCATTTGAAATATTATCCTACATCTTACTGTTGGTTCTTTGGGTGTGTGATTAACAGTTAGCGTGTTATGTCTTGCTGTGGTTGACTTGGTTCTTTTGGGCAGTTAAGCTGTAGTAGACAAGTGGAGGTGCTGTCTGCATGGTGGGTTTGTTACCAGCTCAATGGCTCATGGGGCTCTAGTTCGCTCACAGTTAAGTAACAGTGCGCTTATTAAATACTTGAATAACTTGCTTGGCGTAGTTTAATCTTTGTAAAATTTGAGCTCCACTCACAGTGGTTATCCTCGTTTGTATTCTTATCCTCTCTAGTTCTCAAGGTGTCACAATTAGTCTCAATGCCACCTCTGGCATGGTTACATCGTTTGAGCTGTCTGACAACACAAATGACCAATCTGGAGAACAAGAGTCTGAGTACGAACAAGGAGAGGATGAAGTAGCCTACCACAAACCTGACGGACGAGAATTGTATGCTCAGGAATACACAGAGGTAGGACAGTATGAAGGCCACGGTACAGAATTAACCGAAGACCAAATAGAGTATGGGGAAGAGCCGGAGGAGGAGCAGCTGTACAGTGATGAAGTGCTGGACATCGAAATCAATGAGCCTTTAGATGAATTTACAGTGAGTCTTTCCTCCTTTGTGTGGCCAAAGATAACGTGGCTTCCTGCTCTTAGGTTTCTAGACTGATTTGAAATCTATTTTACCTCCCTTGGGAGGAAGAGAAATTAGACCTTATTATCACTGTCTGCCAGTTTCTTTATCTGAGCTATGACAAAGTTTATGTTGACAGCTTGTTTGGCCAGAGGTAATGCTCTTTTGTCATTCTGGAAGGCTGCAAAGAATTGTGACCTTGAGGATTGCACCCTAAGGAAGAAAACAGCTTTGTGTGGTAGAGATGCTCTGTCAATTGTTAGAAGTACTTAATGCAGGGCTTTATCCAGGCTTTAGACAAGATCTGATAAAGTCCTTCTAAGGTGAAAAGATTATTGACCTGCTAAAGACATCTTTAAGGTGCTAATATACCACAGTGATTGATGTCCTGTTCATTCATTTTTTTTTTTTTTGGTAACTGAGAACTGTCCAAACCTGAATAAAGAGATTGGATGGTATAGAAAATGTTACACATAATTTCTTATCTGTAATCAGCAAGCAAAGATTGTGCTGATTTTTATTTCAGAAAGGTTTTCTTTAAGTTGAACCATCTGGAAAGACAAATGTAAAACTGTAAGTTTGCTCATCTGTCATAGTGAACCCTCTAAAGAGACTTGCTTTTTTTCAGTTAAGCACTTAATGACATTCATACAGGAAGGAGGTGACCTCAGCATTTGTGTAGAGCCATGTGATTTTTGGAGCACCAGGGTCCCATTGAGGTGCAGAGGAGTTGGGAGTGCCAGGCCAGGCAGGAGGTGTAAGGGCCCTTGGAGCATCTGGGAGAATAGTTCTTGGATGTGTCTTCGTTTAGGGTCTGCTGTCATTTGAGGAAGATGCTCAAAAATTACCCAGGGTTGGTTTTTTATGTGTACACATGCATATTTTTCAGAAGGTTTGATACATGAAACCTGAGGATGTTCAGTTTCAGTCATGATTGTGCCATGTGTGTATCTTAGTGAGAAGTTTCTTTCTGAATGACTGTTCTTCAGAAAAGATGTTACTGGATTGGTTAATAGAGTTAAGGAAAGACATCATGGGGATGTTTTACCTTGTAGCCTCAAAATGATGTGTTTTGTCAATAAATCCTTCATTAGATAAGGGATTCTGATATATAGGTGTATTTGTATTCTTTGTTAAAGTAGGACACTATTTTAAAACAATTCCTAGAAACTATGCCAAGGCCTCATCAAATCATTTATAAATTAGTGATAAAATCAATGATTGGCTAATTATTCTGGAGTCCTTTCCCCTTTTAAATTTGGCTGTGCAGCATATCTTTACTGATTGATGTCTAAGCATTGGCTTTGGGACACAAATACTGTTGAACCATAAAACGTGAAACTGCTCATGAAGTTAGAATTTAGTTGGACAGATGACTTTGAGGGTAGTACTTCGTCATATAGGAGCATTTTTCACTTGGCATTTTTGAGTTGTAAGGAGACATTTCTTCTATGTTCTTCATAAGGGTTGAAATAAAATTCAGTCTTAATTGTAGAGTGTCTGTGGTCTGAGATTCAGATGTTAGAAAAAAATCAAATTTGGCAATTAAAACATTTTTATAGAATTCTTCCACATTAAAATAAACTATTTTTGTCAGAATTACAAAAAGTAAACATTTACTTAGAAATTCTGAAAGTGTCCTAATGTTTTCACAGAGAGTGGTCAACTTGGAATGTGCTCACCTTGGACTGTGAGAGAATGTATCTGAAGGTTGTGTGAACAAGTCTGGTGTGGCAGCCATGGCCATCCTTTTCTGTTTCCATCCTTGACCACTGTGGTAGTATCTGAAGATGGGGTTGTATAGGAAAAGGTGTGTGGAATTAAACTGGAATACTCCATTCCTGTTAGGCATTTGGAGGCCTCTCTCATGGTTTTTCAAGACTGTCTCTGACTTGTAGAATACTTATCTATATTTAGACTAAGGAATATATGAGTAGATTGTGTCCTGGTGGTATGTGGCTTATGATAGTTTATTTACCTGTTCCTTGTTGTAATTGGATTTGTTAACCTGCTCTCTAAAGTCAGGTTTAAACTCTGAAGGTGGCCCCATGAGCACATTCTTTTCTGTGAGAGCTCACCTTACAGTTCTGAAGACTGTTGAGGCATAACTTGTAAACCACCGAATGTTCAACTAGAAGGACTCTCGCCTGTAAAGAGGGAGATCCTGAGATGCTCGTGTGGGCAGTGAGTTTTAGTCATCGTTACTTTCATGCTCCAAAGTAACTTTTAAGTGTGAAGTTTGCTGATAACTCTTCTTGAGAATAAATAGTGATTTTATTTGAATTTATATTCTTGGTGCAAAAAGGCCTGTACATTGCTTGGCCATCAACAAAATAGTAAAAATTATCTGTTGATGATGAATATTTTAGTGTAATTAGTATATTAAGGGCTTGCAAAAATTAATGTAGATTGAGACTCACAAGACATTGTTTGGTAAAAACACTTCCAGATTTACTTTTTTTGGGTAGCAGATTCTTTTCTTCAATGCCTGCCTGCATTGCGTAGTGAGGGTTAAAGGCTGACCCTGCCTGCATTGTGTAGTGGCTGGAATCTTGATCAGCATCTCTGGCTTATTTAAAATCTAATCTGACTGTTTTGCTAAAGTTGATGCTAGAGTAATGGTGGCGATTCTTTTTCGTAGGCTTAAGTTTCCTCTAGAAAGTAGAAAAGTGTGTTCAGATCATCTTGAGAGGCAGTTTGGACATTGAGGTAGTTTCTGTACTTGGACACAGCTGCTTTCTTGGGTATGGGCAAGACTGTCATACATACTATGTGGTAGGTAATGAGGGGCTAGGTTATGAGGTTAGGGCTGCTTCTGCTTCATAACCATTTTACTGTACAATTTGAGCATGTGGCCTCTGGGAAGCCTGCCTTTGCTAAGTAGGATCAGTTCTGTAATTTGCTCGTAATATAGGAGTATCCTACTTTCTTTGGCAGTGATCATCTCCAGTCAGCTTGCCTATATCCTTCCATGAGCCCAGAAGGGCTTGCTGATTTGCCCCTAGCATTTCATGCAAAGCCTAAAGTCAGCCCTTCGCTCAAGGGAGGACTTGATGGAGAAACCAAATTCAATCTGAGATTTTCAGAAAGCACTGTATTGAGTCAAGTTGCCCACAATTTTGTGGTCTCTACTGCTGTAAGACTCGTGAGAGTGGGCATGATTTCAGCCCCTCCTGCTGCCAAACTCCTCAGTAGAGCATTTGGCTCAGGTCTGCCAGGGCTATTTTTCCTGGGGTGGATTTGAGGGAGAGCTGTTTAACAGGGCACTTGGACAGGAAACAGAGCTCATGTCACTAACTAGGCCAGCATGATACCAATACTTTGTTTGCATGAACACAAAGGAGGTGCTTCCTGCTTTGTGCTCAGTCAGGTAACTAAGATAATGCCGCATGAGTCATGAGATGAAAAGTGCTGTAAAAAAACAACCCAAAAGCTTGGTGAGAAACCATTTCTTCTCTTTAATGGCTGTTAGGATGAAGAATACTTGCAGGCTTATGGTGGGCACCAAAGGCTGCGAGCACAGGAAGACTGTGCGGCTGAAGATGACTTAGATGAGATTACTGATCCCCAGGTTGCTCCTGAGACCCACGAGGTATTTGTTCAACTTCTAAAGTTTCCTGGGTGTTTTCCCCCCTTCCAGGTTTAAAATCGGCATCTTTGATCTCTTTTCTTGAACTGTCAGTGTAGTAACATACTCAAGCTTTCTAGACCCTTAGAGAAACATATTTCCAGAAAATTTATGTTAGTGTTCTATATCAACAGTGTGAAAGTGCTTAGAAAGCAGTGTTCTAATTATTTTTAACTAGTATCCGTTAATTTGGACCATTATTAAAAAAATGCTGCAAGATTCCCCGTGTCTGGGACCTGTCTTAGCTATGGAAGAGGCAGAGGTGAAGGAAGCTGGATACTCCTACCTCCAGGCACTTCATGTCTGATGTTGGGAGGAAAAGACATTGCTCATTCTGGGATGTACTGGCAGAGGCTATATTACCAGGGTATCCTGTGGGAAAGGGCCAGGTCCTCCCCCCTTTTCCACTCCCCCCTCCCCCACCCCCCCCCCCCCAACATAAGGAAGAAGTGACTCTGAAACAGCCTTCGAGGAGGTCAGGGCTTTGGATTATCCCATGCCTTTCTTTGAGAACTGACCTTATGGTTAAACCCTTAGGGTATAGAGTCATTGCTCAGCTTAGGGGGTGTGTGTGTGTGTGTGTGTGTGTGTGTGTGTGTGTGTGTGTGTGTGTGTGTGTGTGTGTGTGTGTGTGTGTGTGTGTGTGTGTGTGTGTGTGTGTGTGTGTGTGTGTGTGTGTGTGTGTGTGTGTGTGTGTGTGTGTGTGTGTGTGTGTGTATGGCTCATTGCTCAGCTTAGCGGGGTGTGTGTGTGTATTTGGCTCATTGCTCAGCTTAGCGGTGTGTGTGTGTGTATGGCTCATTGCTCAGCTTAGCTGTGTGTGTGTGTGTGTGTGTGTATGGCTCATTGCTCAGCTTAGCGGTGTGTGTGTGTGTGTGTGTATGGCTCATTGCTCAGCTTAGCGGTGTGTGTGTGTGTGTGTATGGCTCATTGCTCAGCTTAGCGGTGTGTGTGTGTGTGTGTGTATGGCTCATTGCTCAGCTTAGCGGTGTGTGTGTGTGTGTGTATGGCTCATTGCTCAGCTTAGCGGTGTGTGTGTGTGTATGGCTCATTGCTCAGCTTAGCGGTGTGTATGTGTGTGTGTATGGCTCATTGCTCAGCTTAGCTGTGTGTGTGTGTGTGTGTGTGTGTGTGTGTGTATTTGGCTCATTGCTCAGCTTAGCGGGGTGTGTGTGTATGTGTATTTAGCTCATTGCTCAGCTTAGGGTGTGTGTGTGTGTGTGTGTGTGTGGCTCATTGCTCAGCTTAGCGGTGTGTGTGTGTGTGTGTGTGTGTGTGTATGGCTCATTGCTCAGCTTAGCGGTGTGTGTGTGTGTTTGGCTGTGTGTATGTGTATTTAGCTCATTGCTCAGCTTAGGGGTGTGTGTGTGTGTGTGTGTGTGTGTGTGTGTGTATGGCTCATTGCTCAGCTTAGCGGTGTGTGTGTGTGTGTGTGTGTGTGTGTGTGTGTGTGTGTTTGGCTATAGAGTCATTGCTCAGCCTAGTGTGTGTGGCTAGAGTCATTGCTCAGCCTAGTGTGTGTGGCTAGAGTCATTGCTCAGCCTAGTTTTTGTGTGTGTGTGTGTGTGTGTGTGTGTGTGTATGTATGTATGTATGTTAGTGTCCCTGTCCCTGACCTTTTTTGCTCTAAGGCTAGTGCTCAGCCACTTGAACTATACAGCTCCACTTCCAGATTTTTCCTTGTTTAATTGGAGATGAAGAGTCTCAAGGACTTTCCTGCCTGGCTAGCTTTGAGCTGTGGTGCTCAGATCTTAACCTCCTGAGTAGCTAGGATTATAGGCTTGAGCCACCAGCACCTGGCTTCTTGTTGGTTTTCTTAAAAAGATGTCCTTATTAGTGTTTATTTCTCAGTAATTTTCCGTAATGTGGTTTCTCTGATCTCGAGAGATCACCAAGGCTGATATTTACTGGCTTCGCATTTATTTGGTGTGTTACATGGAGACCCAGTGGGCTCTTTCCTAATGCACCAGGAGCACATGTGCTGGTACAAACAGAACTGGTTCCTGGGTGTACCCCCTTCTTCCCTCCCATAGCTACATTTGAGCTATTTGAAATAACTTGAGAGTTAGAAAAAAAACAATAATACACAAGGGACTCTGTAGGAAAATTTGTGTATCCCAGGAACCCCAGCAAAGCTAAAGGAGATGCTTTAAAAGCTTAAGAAGACAGGCACAAGCAGGCCTGGTTCCCCGACGACTTCTGTAGCATGAAGCTCAGACCAGTCTAGTCAAACCCTGTAAGGAGTGACTAGGTGAAAGAAAATTAACCCTGTGAAAGGAAGGAGCGTAGCCGACAGGACTCATTCCCAGAGAAATACAAGGCCTTTGGTGCCCATTAATTTAGTTCTTTTTATTAGTATTGCTGTATTAAGGTTTTTATCTTTATTTCCCTCCCTGTTCTCTTAAATTTTGTTTGTAGTGTATTTTGGAGTGGGGAAATATTTTATGAATTTCAATCTTCAAATGGTCTCTGGAGATGTGCATAAACTTTTGTGTTGTAAAGTATGTTAACAAGCTTTACGTTGCCTGGTGCCTCCTGGAAGTGACAGCCCATGGCTTGTACATCTAGATAACTTGAAATTTAGTTTTGGGAATGTATTTATTAAACTGTTAAAAATACAAATGGCTACTTGTCTTCCAGTTTTCAGTGCCTTCTGGGAGTGGGGAAAGGGAAGAGAGAAAAAAGACTGAGGGAAGTTGCAGCAGGTACACACACTAAGGGAGGGGAGGAAGGAAATGACAGGCATACATGCTAGGGGAGGAGAGGAAGGAAGTGTCAGGCACACATACTAGGGAAGAAGAGGAAGGAAGGGGTCTTTGGAGGAACATGAGTAAACAGACAACTTTTTCTTAAGTGAAAGCATAACGCACTAATAGGCATAACATTTCAGACAGATTGAGAAAAGATTCCTCTTTTGGGGAAAAGAGATTTCTGTTTAAAGCAATGTGAAATCTCAGATTAAAGATTTCAGCATTAACCTTCATGTACATATAATCACCCTTCCCCCAACCTTAAGTATGTTGGGAGAAAGCATTTTAATCATTAAGCCATTAGGCTTACTGAGATAGAAAACCAAATATTAGGTTTTGTTTTTGTTTTTTTGGGGGGGGTCCGGTCGTGGGGCCTGAACTCTGGGCCTGGGCGCTGTCCCTCAGCCCTTCAGCTCAAGGCTAGTGCTCTACCACTTGAGCCACAGCACCACTTCCAGCTTTTTTCTTTTTGCTTATGTGGTACTGAGGAATCGAACCCAGGGCCTCATGCATGCAAGGCAAGCGCTCTACCACTGAGCCACCTTCCCAGCCCCCAAATATTAGTTTTATATCCCACTAGTGTCAAAAGATGCCTGAAGGCATTTGGGATCTGCTATTGGCCTCAGCATTAATCAGGTAGGTAATCAGGCTTGGTTCTCAGACTTAAGTAATAAGTTCCAGGCCTCGTTCTTGTTGGTGGATTGCAGGAAGATTGAAAGGGTCTAAGGTCACCCTTTTGGGTGTTTCAGAGTTCTCACATACCACTCATAGACCTCACAAATTAAACCTCAGTCTTGCGCTCTTCCTGTTAACAGGGCAAGCTAGAGATAAGTGTTTTAGTAAGGTGACAACATGTTCAACTAAAATTGGGAGTTTGGGTGTTGATTAGTAATATCTAGATTTTTGGTGTTAGGAGTTTTAAGCCATATGGAAAAAATGTGATCTGATCATAAACAAGTGATCTTAAACACTGTAATCAGAGTTAAACAAATAACTGATGTAGGGAAACAGTTGCATACAAGCCTGAGAATGAATATTTTAGTACACAAAACTAATAAGTTAATATTCAGTACATTGTATATTCAGTATATTTGGATACGTGCTATGAAAGAAGGGCAGATAATATGAGGATTCAAAAGTAGAATAGGCAAATGAGCTTATAAAAATATATTCAGTGAAATAAAAATTGAAGCAAAATGTGTGGAATATGTAAATCTCTCCCCCCCCCCCATAAGCTAGAACCTGGATAAAGATTAAAAAAAAAAAATCAGCAGTAGATGATAGGATTAGTCTTAACTATTATATAGGATTTTCTGACTTAAAATTTTTTTTGTTTTTGACAAGGAGAAAGTGACAGTGTTGTTAATTGTTTTTGCAAATAAAAAGTAATCTATGTAAATAAAAGTATTTTGTCTTCTAAATTATGAAGAAGCAAGAAGATGTGGATAGTTCCATAATTTGATGCTCTTATTTGCAAGGCAATTAGAGGCTGTGTTGGACTCTTGTGACTTCTAGTTGCTGTCACCTCTTACATGGAATCTCCTGAGTGTTCAGTAGACAATTGAAAAAGCTAAATGTACAATAAGCCAAATCAACGTTGCATATTTTTATACCATTTGCTAAGAAATACGTTATTTGCTTTAAAAATGTATGCCTTTAAAGTTTAGTAATTAAAAGTAGTCTTAAAAGTTTAATATTTTACCCTTTTTTATTATTGGTTTCAATTTAGCTTGTATGTGTTGCTTGTTTTAGGGTTTCCTGCAGAATTTCTGTATTGCTCATTGTGGGTAGCATGTCTAATGGTTTTATTGTAAGTATGTGATGTACTAGTCTTTTTCTGTAGCAACAGATAATTTGGGCATATATTCTTCAAGTAAGTAGAATCATTGCATTGTTAACCTAAAAGATAGTTTTGGAGGATTTTAGGTGCTAAAAAGTTGATATCACCTACTGTTTCAGTGCATTTACAAGCTTTGGTTTTGGGGTGCTATTGAGTCATAGTATTAAGTCTGAATAAATTATATCCTTTTCAGGTTTTTTTTTGTTTGTTTGTTTTGGGCTTGAATTCAGGCCTCGTTGCTGTCCCTTAACTATTTTGTTCAAGGTTAGCGCTCTACCATTTGAGCCACAGTCCCCCTCTGGCTTTTTGGTGGTTATTTGTAGGTAAGTTTCTCACGGATTTAGCTCTTTGGCTGGCTTGAAACCATCGTCTCA